GGAAAAAAAAAAAAAAAAAAAAAAAAAACACATCTTAGTAAAACCAATACCTTCTCAGCTTCGCATCGAAGCTAAAATATGTTGTTTTTATAAGTTTTTCAACAAAACTTTTAAAAACATTATTATAATTTAAAAAAATTATTCTTTTTCTCTAGCTTCTATTGCTGTATTTGATCATTTATATAAATAAAAAAAAGTTTTACTTAAAAACATAAAAGTTAAAGACGATAAAATTAGGCAACATATAATCGTGAGCGTGTCTTAAAAATATCTGAAAAGACTCTAATTTCACATTTTATTCATTATACCTTGAAAAATATCTTTTTGGGACATCTAATTTTTGAAGTAGGCTGATTGTTAAACAAGCCAACGATAGCAGACAATCAGTTAAATAACCAATTATCCTGTCCGTGTATTTTAGTTACTAAATAACTAAATGAATATAAAAATAAAACTCCAATAAAACTAAAACATATATGTAATTTATTATTGCAAAAATAGCTTATAGACTATGTCAAAATAACATATATTTAGTTCTCACATTAAACAATAATTACGATTCTATACCTAAGACACATTAGTGAAATAATTTTAATAAAATTTATAATCATATAATATATTAAATAGAAATAAATAAGAAAAATAATATTTATATAATATATTATAATACTATCATTAAGGTGCTCTATACAATATATTATCTTCTGAATGAGTGTACAATATTATAGGAAGAGTACAGTTTTTCTTTTTTTTATTTTTTTGAGGAATAATGTCTGCTAAGGTTTTTTTACACATTGTCATGCAATAAAAAAGTGTGGACATATACACAGATAAAACATACGGAACATGACTAGGGATCACGGTGTATGCGATACCTATGCGTTTGTAGTAGTTGTATATGATGAGCATAAGTAATAAATAATAATAAACATTATTTTCCGAGAGATCTTGCCGGTAGAATAAAAACAAAAAGTTGTTCCATCGTCACCGGTGACTAGAAACACGCCGAAGACATACAAGAATATTATGCATAAATATTTTAAACGAAATCTAACAAACAATTAATTACAACATAGAAATGAAATACTTTCAATGTAATATTAAGTGCTTATTATAATAGCTGATATATTGTATGAAATCGGTGGAATATAGCCTGTTTATCCAGATCTCATTTTCAATTTGTTCATTGCATTATTGAGATGCAGCATTTCTAAATTTAGTTGACTCATGAGATTGTTAAGTTGGTCCACGGAATCCAAGATTTCGGCTCTCTGGGTGTGTGGATTATAACGTACTTCAAATGGTCGTGACATGGTTGACACCCATTTTCTGATTAATAAATAATGTAATTATATATATTAAATTTTTTTTTTTTTTTTATTAGCTAGTAAAAAATCAATAAATTTTCTATAACAGTTAATTGAAACTGCCATGAGAACATTAATTACCTGAATTTGTCTTTGGCGTCTTCAAAACTTTCGGCAACAAAATATATCGGTTGGTATTCTTGATCTTGGTATGGTTGAACTGCTGTGGTAGATGGTTCGAATGGTCTGAGTTCTGGTTTGCCAGAAACGGCGTGCAAAAGTTCACCATAGGCAGACAAAAGTCCGGCACCGTAAGCCTTTACTTCTCCGTGTTCCTTGCATAAACCGAATTCAATTGTGAACCAATATACCTAAAAAATATTAATCATATAACTATTTTGTGTCAGATATTTTATTGCAGGGGTAAACATACAGTGGAGAGTTTTTCGATTTCTTCGTCAGATGCTCCCAGAGAAGCTAAGCCCAATTCCTGTGAGAACTGAGCGAAACTTGGATCGGCTAATAAAGGCATGTGTCCTAGAACTTCATGGATGTAATCACTGTAAAACCAATAATAATAATATTCATTAACATTACGGGTATGATGGATAAATAATTGATTTGACGCTTGGCAAAATTAACTGACAAATTGCGTAGTTAAAAATAGAATTGTTATTGAACATATTAGTGTTGTGACAATCGAAATTTTCGTACATACATAATAACAAAATTTGATTATTTGCAAAGGGAAATTAATTAATTTATCTACAAAGTATCATAATATAGCGCATTATTAGATACCTATTTCGCTTTATTACACTTACTGGCGAGGCCACATTATTCATCATAATAATGGATTTTATTTAAGCGAGCTCGAGTAAAGTGTTCATCGGCGACCCACCACCACTCTTTCCCACGTGCACATTTTTCATATGTAGTTAAGCTATAGAAGTATTATTACAGAGCCGACGGAAATTGCAGCAATGTTCTCAACTGTAATCGGCTTGTCGACTCTAATATTCAATTTATTTCTTACACAAAGATTTGTACTCGATTCGAATTTCCCGGCTAATACACAATAATTCTAATCATTTTTGCCCAGTATGTTTGGTCACAATTTTCTTGAACCATTAAGTTTATCCACCTATATGATAATTGTCGGATGAACCGTTGAAACGGTGTTATTTTACATAATTTCTAATATAATGCATTGTCGATAATTCAGTTTTAGGTCTTAATCTAAATATGATTTAATTAGATATGTACGGTATTTTAAAGTCAGCAACTATTAAATTCGTGAATTTCTATTTTTAACCATGCAAAGTTTTAAATGTCGAAAATAAAAATATTGACGTAGTTTCCTATTATTTTTCATGACCTCTAGATATTTTCGTGTATATATATATAATTGACTACACGGTTGACTTGACATCATCTCTAGGTAATTATTGGTAAAATTCGTATGATGACAATATTCATCATAATAATTTTCCATGTAATTTATTACTCGTACTAATTTTTAGGTTAAATTATTTTTTTCATTCTTGAATGAAATACAAAAGGATCAAATAACTGCGACGATGATGATTTTACGATTACCATCATTATTATTATATAACACTCGCATCACTGAAGGTCCCAATGTCCTTGACTAGAGTTAAAAATATAACAATAAATATCTAAACTAACCATAAAAAACTTATTGTTGGTGTTTATGTAAATATAAGTTCGTTGACGTTAAACGGCAACTTTTTATAGGTCTAATTTTAAATAGTGTCATAGTTGTATGCTATTTATATTTTTCATACCAATATTAGTATTTTAAGAGTGATGGAATATTTACCTATTCTTGTGTCATTTTTGGATTTAAAGTAACCTACATAAATTAAAAATAAATGAAATACGTACGGTTCGGGGGTGTGGAAAGGTGTGGTGCTGTGACGAATATATTGTGTGCTTTGGAACACGCGGAAAGCAAGACTGGCCAAGAAGTCACGGGCTGTGAGCAAACCGGCTGCTGGTCGAAGTGTAAAGCCGGTGTGTTTTTTTAGGAAGTCGGACATCTCGTACAATTGTGGGATTTTGTCGGCCGTGAAGATGTTTTCGTCTTGCAACATTTTGAATGCGTTTCTGTATTCCATGCAGAAATGTTTGGGCATCAAGTCCAATACGGTGTTGAATACGGCGGACCAAGTGGAAAGTTCATCTTTGGTGTATTCAATTTTTGGAATTAAATCGCCACTGTACAAAAAAAAAAAAAAAACCATTACAGTTTAGAACAAATGTTTTAATAGAAACAAAATCCATCTCTCCAAATAACATCGAGTGACTTACTATTTATATTCAAAAGCAACATTGGCGATATCCTTCCTGCGGGCACGGTAAACTTGATCGGCAAATCCGGGGTGGTTCATGTCCAGCTCGGGTTCATATTTAGTCATCAAGTGATTGCAGTTGTCCAAATCGCGGGCGTGTTTTGGGAACCACGGGTCCTTGACGTTTGTATTATCTTCGGCTAAAACCGTAACACTTGCTAATGTGGAACTTTGTCTGAGCGATTTCAATAGCGCCAACAAGTTTTTCCTGGTTATGTCCACTTTGACCAAAATGTCGAATTTAACTCCTCGTTCCTTGGACGGTCTTGATTCAATGTGGATGACTTTTCCTTTTCCGGACTGTATTGAAAAAATAACGAACCATTGAAAATGTGTAAAAAAAAAATGATGTTTTATCGATAAATTATGATTTTACTCACGTGAATGATGTTAAGTAATCGTGCAAAGCAGCTGTCGATGTCTTCGCGAAGGCGTAAAACCAAAGTTGATTTCTGTACTGCATTTTCTGCGTCCTTGTCATGGCCGGTAGCTTTTTCCAACAATACTTCCTCTTCTGTAAGTCCAGCATCTGTGTAAAACATGCAACCAGAGGGGTGTAATTAAAAGCACACTCATGACGGAAATGTTATAATAGGTTCCCTTAATACTGTAAGAGCAGGCAAAGAGACGAACGGACTACGCAATTTCCTCACAACCAAAGTGGTGTTCCGGCACTTTAGCTAGTCAGCCGTCTGTGAATAATCAGTACTTATTTCTTTGGGACGCCCCTTTTGTGATATAAAAGATAAAAGAGGATAAAAAGATTCACGATTTTGTTTGATAGTAGAAATTTTTTAAATCAAAATATATAGTTAGTATAAAATCGATTACTCGAGCAAAAAAGTAATAATTACAAAGACTGTTATAAAAAAAAATAATAAGCACAATAAATTTTTTCTTAAGAATAAATTACATATTTAACAAGTCGATATTCTTAAAAAATTATACTACATATAAAATTATGTTCAATAAAAATATTTACCTGAATCATAATTGTCAGACGACAATTCCGACAATTCTTCGGTAAATGATTCTATTAAATAAAAAAAAAAGCAAAACAAAAATAATAAGTAAACTCAAAACAAAATGAAAAAATTAAAAATAAATGTGCAAACTCAAAACGGTTACCTTGTTCGTTGAGTTTTTCTTCGGATTCGAAACCTTGATCTTCGTATTCCAAAGGATTGACTAATGAAATAAAATAACAATGTAAAAAATAATAATAAAGACAAAATGCAGCCGCATGCAAAAAAAGCTCATCCAAAAAAACTAAAAAAAGCAAATAACTAATTTGGGCTTGAGTATTTTTATATGTATTTCGTTTAAATTATAATAAAAATTGTCCGAGAAAATTTATTAATATTATTATTCTTTTATTACTTTGACTTTTTAGCGCAAAATGCATAAATAACGCGGAAGCTGTATTATTTAATTTTTTTTTTTTTTTTTTGTTATAGTTTCAAATTCGAAGGTTATAAATTATAACAACAAGACATATAGAAACGCATTAACAGGTTTTTCGCATCATTATATTACACGATTTTGTATTGTCATTATTATGATATTGCATAACGTACAATAAATGAATAAATAGTTATATAAGAGTTCGATGAGGCGAGAAGTAGTTAGAGACCGCTTATTGTTTTGGGTGACGTGTTATTGACGGATGAAAATAAAAAAAATGTATATTTTAAATAAAACCGTGCCGCGTGTAAATTAATAAATAACTAATATCACTTCGACGGTTCACAAACAATCAGTTGGATTAAAAAAAAAAAAACAAAATCAATCACACGAACAATGTGTCATTACAACAGCGCACTTACTTTGGGCTTGATGTTGTCGCTGCAGTTGGCTGGCAAAATGCGTTACGGCCGCGTCGGTCGCTAAAGAAGCGTCCAATAACCATAAGCAACATACAGTAGCCATTTTGTCGTTGGGTACGTATAGCATCGGTAACCGCGGCGTTTATTACCGGTGTTAGAAGTAAGGTGATTAAAACGGAGAAACAAATAAAAAAAAAAATAAAAAAACAAATTAAAGAAGATTAATCAAACGATGACGGGAACGAACACCAGCCGAGTTGTCGGACATCCGATTTAAACAGATTCGCGTGCCAACGGTGTAATGATGTGGATTTCGACTTGTTTCTAATATGAAGACACGACATACGTGACCCTTCAACAATGTCAACAACAATTTTTTTTTTTTACATTCGTATGTCTCAAAGTTGATTTTTTTTTTTTTTTTTTTTTTTNTTTTTTTTTTTTTTTTTTTTTTTTTTTGTTGACAGTTATCACTATTGCCATGATAATTGTTTATTGAATTTCATTAATGGTTTGGAAACGAGTACCGTTGCATAACCGGTGTCCGGCTTGGCCGAGCTATCCGTTTGCAAACCACTGATTCTAATTTATTAAGACGTTGGTCTTGATAACGGTCACAACCGGCGACCGCCAAGGAAGTCCACTACCGCGGCCGTCCGCTCGCGCGCGGTGTCACCCGGAAATCGGATACGCATCCGGAGTTGTTTTGGCGTCAACAATCACACGGTTCCCTTCCGAAATCCGTTGTAACGCCAATGCAAGTACATCCCTTCCCATTGCCGGTTAGTAAGATTATTTTCACACGTGCCCCACCACCTTTGCGTTCGGGTTAGTCGTTGACATTTTTACACGATATTAATGTACGCTGTAAATCAGGGACGCTTACCGTCTGCTAATTCTCTGGCTTCCTCGAGCACGGCTTGTTTGGTCTGTTTTACCACCAGTGTCTCGAATCTGGCGTCGTCCACGAGAGAACGTCTTCTTGCTGGATATCCGTTCTGAAATCACACGATAATTATTCACCTACTGACAACGGAAAACCGGCAAGTTACCGAAGACGCGCGACAGCGACTAGTGTTTTGACAATGACGGCAACGAATAATTCATTGCGTTAATTAGTATTCTCGTTAAAGTGATTTTTGTCGACTGTTTGTAATTGTAAGTCAGACATAATTATTTATTTTTTTTTGTTTTATTTCGGTGCATTTGTTGGGTAATATTGTAACCGTCGCATTTGTTTTGCGTTCGGACGTTACCTTGAGAGCTTCTCAATGTAAGTTTTCAATGCATACCGGCGTTGTTCTACGAGTGCGATAGAAAACGAAATAATGAAGGCGAAAAAAAAAAAATTTGGCAAAAAAACCGTATGAAAATCGCAATCAACACAACGAACAAAAGCAAACAATAGCGTATACGCACACGGGGTGGCGTAACATAAAGCTGACATTATTTGATGACGTGGATTAATAGTAATCACCTACTAGACGTCGGATTTTAATTTGAAAACCGTGTCAAAAACTAGGAATAGACGGAGAACGCAACAGACGGACGGCGTTGTTTACCCGCGTCCGTGCAGCAGTTGAGGTCGGATGGTAAAAAAGTTTGATATTGTTCACAAATGTATACATATAACGTAAGGTGATTGTATATTTTCTCCTGCTTGCCGCAATGGAAAAATATTAATGGAGTCTTATTTTTATTGCGCGCCGTTTCTGCACGCGGTCATGTGTAATGGAGCGCATCAAAAATCGTATAAACACGGAGCGACCAAAATAGAATGTGTGACCGTGAAAGGAAAATCCGGACAAAATTATTATTCTTGATGCACGTCATTTCACGCGGCTTAACATACGCGGTACGTGCGAATAACACTTTGGTCAGATCTTTTTTCGCGCTCAAAACTTGAATAATGTGAGCTTTGGTACGGTTTTCGTTCCCGGGTTTTCGACTGTGACGCACTAGCTCAGCCGCCCCACCCCCATCACGATTTTTATGGTTGTTGACGTTAATCTCGTTTCCAGATTACTTACTCATTCGGTAAAAGTCGTCAAAGCACCGGCGCTAAAGGCCAACTATTGGCCTCGGCACTTGTGCATTTATTCTACTCTTGGATTTTCACCGATCAGTCGTTCGCGCCCTTGGAACTACACAACTTTTTTGAAAATAACAGGAGTGGAATATCATGGAACATTTTAGGTCAATGACGGACACCGCCGTGTAGTCATGCGCTCATATAGATAACACAATAAAATATATATAAATGCAAAAAAAGTTAAAACTGACAACAAGTCGAAATGCACGGCTGTGTTTGTTTTAATGATTTTTTCTGCCATTCGTTCACTTGAGTCATCGACGTATTCGCTTTCCAACGTCGATGGTGTGTGTATATATATATATTTATTTTACTCTGCCTATCTAATATCATTATTATTATTATTAGACTATCCGGTTTGCCTTGACCTAGCTCACGGAGTATAATCGTATAGGCGAATACGAGTAACAAGGGCTTCCCGTTAATGATCCGATGCTATTTTTTTCGGAAGGACGCCGCCGCCGCTGTGTTATTGTTCTTATACACCACCGGATTTGTGTGGTGCACAAAAAGCGTGCACGCAGTTTGAGGGATTTAAATAAATAACAATTGAACGGCAAAAAAATATATTAATCGGCGTTGTTTAAAAAACGGGCATTTGATAAACTTGTTCATGGGCCGCGTTCGATTGAAAAATGAAAGTGTTCGGTGTAATATCGAGTCAATAATTATGCACGGCCGATTAATTGGCGGGCGGCGGAAGTGAAAATATTGTGCGCGCATGATGGCCCTATTGGTCACGTTCATAATTTAATATTTGGACGAAAATGTTGTAATATACCTGGTGTTATGTCCTACTTAACAACAATAATAATATGTGTTACAAATAATAATAACAACAAAACCACCGTCCGCCTTAAAAACCAAAATGGATGACCATTGTAGTCGAAAACAAAATGTTCATAAGACACTATTCAAAGGGCAACAGTTGTCAGCGGCAACTGCGTAGAACGATTTTTACTATGCGCCAAGTCGGTAAGACAATTCATTCGGAATGGCGGCGCGGCGCAAAGTATACAATTATTAAATGTCGATTATTTTATTTCGACTAATTGATTTAAACGGGCACGCTGGCTAAACCATCAACGCTAACGAGTAAGGGCGAGCAAGGCTGAAAACGAGAGGTTAATTAAGTAAGCTCGGAGAACGTAACGAAATATTTTTGACGGTTATAATGTACACTTAAAAATTCATATCATTAGACGTTGAAAAACCTTCAAAAACACGCGTACGGCATATTAAAAATTAGAACACAAAACTATACAAATAACGTCTTCTTGGAATGCTGAAAAAGTCATAAAACAATACTGACCTATGTCTCAACGTTTTCCACGAAAACGACAACATATTTGAAAACGTATAAAGTAAACGAGTTATGCCGATTGCATACACAGAACGCCGTCTTACAAAAATATGCACCCACACGGACGGACTGAAAAAAAATTGCACGTGCTCAAAAGAATTTAGTACGGAAGCTGTTTTACCAAACTACGTCGTTGTATATGAGACTACTTGTTTTTATTATTATTATTATTCGTTACCTAATACGAGAACATTAAAGTATTTACTGTACGCGGACAACTATCAAGTTCTGGACTAATTTAAATACGATTATCAAGGTCCATATTAAACTACTCGTACAAACCGGTTGAATCTTTTGTCACTTTGTTAATTACCTATATCTCACAAGATTCTTTTTCAGTGCGTTTCCCGCATTACCCAGTCAACCGAATAAATTATACCGCGGGTTTTTCGTGTTCTCATTGTGTCTGGTGTGTTGTCAGTCGATTTAATTAAAAACGAATTTTTTTGTCTAAAAGTACACCCTAACGTAAACGTTTACCTCGATGCTGTACGACTTCTTGATGGCGAACATCTCTCGGCTCTTTTGGGCTGCTGCTAAGGCCATGTTTATTTCTGGTGTTTTCTCGACGTTGGTTTGTTTTCGTCCAAGACTGTACAACAGCACTCCGTACGCTCCAAACTCCAGTGTAAATCCGGCAAGGACTGGGCGACCAGGAAATAATGCGGTTGGCGCGAGTTAAACGTGAAAACGTCGAGATTAAAATGCTTCTCTTCCGCTGGCGCAGGTCGACAACTTGTCTAGTTTCGTTTTTAGTGGTTGTATCTCTTCCCGGCGAGAGATAAAATAGATCAGCGTCTACTATGTTTTCTCCCGAAATCGACAACAGAAATCGAATAGCACAGTGTCTATTCGAATGTAGGACTTCTCAGACTTTCAAACGGAAAATCGGAAAATTAAAGTTTATCCTCTATTTGTCGCTATGGACGGCGGAGAACCCGAAACAATTACAAGTATGTTTACGTCGACCGGCGGCTGAACACGCGTCACACGTGCACTCGGATGCGAATGAAAAGACAACCCCGTACCGGCTTCGGTCTCTTTATATAAAGGGACCGTCGGCCGCGCCACGCTTGCCCCCTCCAGCCACCCCGAGTGGGTACGGCGGTCCGACGCGAACGCGGGCCCGGGGGCCACCCCAACCATTCAAAGTGGCGACCCGATGGGGATTTCCACAGGTCTCCCCCCTACCGAACGGCGCCGCGGTTTCCCCCGCTTCACTGCTGCCGCGGCGGACACCCCTCCGGTTTGCGGTTGCGATGCTGATAACCTTATGTGTCGTGCGGCAACTACATTTTCACGTCGGCGGCCGTTAACGCCGATCGCGATGCACCGACACACGCGCAACGCACACGTCGTACAGGTGTACGAGCGTAGACAATAGGTACGTTCTGGTAGATCGTGTTTGCTACCGCCGCCGCCGCCGCCGCACATTAGCTGTAGGCGATTCGGACGCCACGGTTGCCCATTACTCAAAAGGGAATCGTCCACATTACAAATTGTACGGTACAATAATTATTACGTTGGAATGATCGCCAAGTGCTCAACAGGTGTTTACCCTATACTTAGGTTTAGTACAGTAACTAGAGATTAATTTTTTTTCAAAATGTTGATTAGCCGGTCAGCGAAACTGGATTTTCGCCGGTGTTTAACTATCGTAACCATATTGGCTATTCGTCTGATGTTAATTAGATACGCGGAGTTTCAAATACGGAAAATACTTGTATTTAATTATCGTTTTTCAATAAATCTATAGAGTCGTGATATCTTCAATGTTAAAATAATCACTTTGCCAATTTGAGTTCCTGATTTTATGACTCGAAATGTAAAATAAGCTCCGATAGTGACTTTTGTAATAAAATTATCTTAAATTTCTATAATTTACAAAACATACGATGTTACTCAAAACAAGTTATTATGGTAATATTATTAAAAAAAATAATAATAAATAGATAGGAATTATATGTTTTTTTTTTTTTTAAAGGGTAGGCTTTTATTGTTATAAGATGAATAATTATTCCAGGAATAGGTAAATTATTTCACAAACATAATTGTAATTTGGATAACCTGTTTTAAGTGAATTTTTCCTCTCGAAATATTTGTTATTTATTGATGAGTTAAGGTTACATGACGTATACAACTAAATTAAAGATATTTAAATTTAATGACTTACAATAAAACGTAAAATAAAACAATTCTATTTATAAAACGCATATATTAAATAAATTTAATATTCTTAAATTATTCACTAAGTTATGATTTGAATTTCAGCTTCTTTAAATGTTAAAATTGTACTGAAAAAATCAGTCTTATAATTATTATGTTAATTTTATAGCGTTTAAAAAAATTATCCGAAAAAATGTATTCCAATATTATAAAATTTGATTTAATTGTTTTAGATATAATGGCTCTAAACAGAAATTACGGTTAAATTTCGATAAGTTAAGTATTGTGTGAATTTAATCGCTCATTAAGAGAATATGTAAAGGTAGAAGCGCGTTATTATAATTTGTTGAATCAAGAGTTCATTTATTTCGAAAAAATATTAAAACATAGTGGTGGTGCTTCTATAAAACAGGTTATCAAACATTCAAAATGATTTTTTATAAATGGATATATTTTTGTAAGAATTCGTTTTTTTAAATAACTGCTAAATTTATTTATTTATGTTTACATAGTAATTGGTCGATCTTAAATTGTAATCTGAAATTATAAATAACATCTTTAATGTTAAATTTTGAAATCTGATCTTGACGCATATAACTTTTTAGATCACCATAACAGTTCTTATGGGAATTTTTACAATATTTTGATCTTATAAAGAAATAACAATTTGTCTTGATCTCTATATTATATATTTTTATTTATTACTATCTATTTTCAATACTTAAGCCATCGTTATCGAGTATGAATATAACTTTATTAATTTCAGGGTTCATTAAATTTTATTGGTGGATAATAATTATTTTTTTAAATTGTTCATTAAATAGTATGTTCGATAAGTATGGAAACAGGTTTTTATTGTTCTCATTGTTTATAACAGTTGACATATTTCCTTAAATATTGAACACTCTGTATATTTTTTTTAATGGCTCGTTAAACATTTTGTAGTGATTCAACTCTTTTGGATGAACTTCAGTTTCAATTTAGAATTTTTAAAGTTATAAACACCTAAATAATAGAATAGGGTACTAGACCTGTGCGACACATCTAAAACAATAGACAGTAGTGAAACAAACTGTTCCCACCAGTAGCATTTGCCCGCTCTAATTATTTAAATGCCTTTAACTTGAAAAAGTACTCGTTTAGAACAGTTTATCGATTATTTGTGATATAAATAGAAGATATAAGTAACATCCTCCTGATTGTCTTACGAAAAAAATGAAATAACGGATTAACTGTTAGTAAAAATTAATTTTATAGAAATTTTATCAGAACAAAAGGTATAACGATCTTTTTAGTTAAGTTTTCAAAAGTGCATACCAATATAGATAAAGCTTTAATAAATAGTATTCTCAAAAGATATTATTAAAAAAAAATATCTTTAGCTCTCTTAACGCTTTTTATGGTTTAATTACTATTTAACCATACATTGATTATACTTAAACTAACTATGTACATAAAAATAGAATTTTAAGAATTATCTTGTGCTCAGTTAAATGGAGACACTAAACATTCTCTAAATAAACAACGACTGACACCAGTGATCCCTGTAAACATTTTTAGAGGCTATTTCATACTAGAATCATATATTTGACTCTTTGTAGTATGCCACGAGGCTAAAAATAGTAGTTAGTGTCTAAGTATAATGCTCCCGGCTTTAAATATTATGATGCCTTTACATAATTAGTAAATATTCGTTGAGCGCCTGTGTCGAAATTTTTGAATTTGTGATTTGTGGCGTAAGTAATTCATTAATTAGCTATTACATGATATCCATTTGTATTGAGTACTAAGAAAATTATATTGTCTTAATAAGTGTTTCGATGGGCCAAAAATAGAAATGTAAATCAAGTGAAAAAAAAATTGACATTGCCGAAATTATAAAAACATTAGCTATCTAAAGTATTACACTGTAAGAAATGATCCGAAAATTCCCATACGTCAGTATGATATTTTTAAAATATACGTTAATTTTACACACAAATAATGTATTTTGACATAATATATCGACAATTAGTGCACAAATATATCTTTTTTATCACTACTTATTCAAATTTATATTATATTCCCATTATATGCGTTAAAAACTTCCAATGCACGTGTCTGAAAATGCAAACACTTTTTTTGCTTCGTTGCGAAGTAGAGAACATATTAATTTTTTTATGTTTGTCTATGAAAACTCTCAGCTTTCACTAGACTGCTTTAATAATCATTACAATCAAAGAACTCGATTTTAATATAAGTTAACTTACTGTTGCGAAAATTAGGAAAAATACCCTCAATTTTAGTTATTTAGAAAAATATCTCAAAATTACTCTGCCATAAAATTAAGATAAAAAAAAAAACTGCATTCTAAATATGTTATAACTTAAAAAAAAAAATAATCCTAATTAAATTTTATTAGCGTATACTAAATATGAGAAACTTTCTTTTTTTTTATAAAAATCAAACGAAAAACCTAAGTACAGGAAAAGTTTAAATAGTTTACACCCACGTATGTAAAAAAAAATTTATGCAACTCAATAATTGGAAATGTTCCACATCGACTGCATTCTTTAAACTTATATCAAACTAAAGCTTTTGAAATGTATAACAATATTTTTAAAAAAATGTCTCACGCGACTATTTACTGTAAAAAATTAACAAAAAAAATTAAAAAATATCACATTTTTTTCAAAAAATATATTTTATTTTATTTTAATCAAATAATTTAACAATAATATTTATTTGAGTTAAATTAAAAAACATAGAAATTTTAAAATTTCAAGTATACGAATTATTGTTAAATTTAACATATTCGCATTAAAGCATTTTTTATGATAGTGATGTTAATAACTGTCACATATCATCAATACTTGTCCCAACATTGCTACGTCCCCACTCTGTCACGACCCCACTATGTTGGGTTTTGTAAAATTGTAGTTGGTTGGAGTAAAGTCTTTATTGTAATCACAATCTTTTTTTTTGTAGAGTTATAGTTTTTCTTTTTATAAGAAATATTGTAAAAATCTTAGGAGCGTTAAAGCGTCTTGACTTGTTTTTCAATGTCTCTTGAACATTAATGATACAGAACAGTAGAAAAATTTTTCGGAAAAAAATATGTTGATTATATTTTGGGGTATTTTAACTAGATAATATTTTCTTAATGGTATTCTTTAATTCATAAAAATCTGGTAAACAGCTTAAAAATATTCTTTATTACTTTGATAATTTTAATTTTTGTTCGTTATAGACCATAAGCTTTGGACTCGAAAATTTGGAGCTATCTGTTTTTGAATCAAATTCTTCAAATGCTGTACATTATTTTATCATTCAATGAGTTATCAAATAATAAATTTATTTTGAACACGTGCTCGAAATAATTATAGTTTTAGAAAATATTTATTAAATTAATTTGTTTATAGAATAATTATTCAATTATTGTATTTAGAGATAAATAAAATAATTAATTGTAACATAAACAATTATTATATTAGATAGTCTTACAGTAATTTATTTATGGATTAATTAATTTCTGTCGAATTAATAATCTTGTGTCTTGTGGAATCTTGCTAAAATTTATAATCTATACTAAAAATTGTACAGAATGTCTCAGACCTAACTGACTAATTGTTATAACTTTTGATACAGTTATCAATTTTGATGAAATTATTTTAAAAATAATTATTGTCATTTTAGACTAGTTTTAAAGCTTATTTTTAATTTTTAGTAAAAAATGAATAAATATGATATTTTTAAATTTTCAATATTGCTATTATTAGCCCATTTCTTATAAAAAATATTTATAGGTCGATAACAATGTTAGGAAAGTACTCATTGAGTTATGAGCATTT